GCTGCAACTGCTTTCTCACGCAAGTGCTGTCAGAAGGGACGGATGACGATTAGTCCGTACTTGCCTGTACCGCCTCATCCTGATCACCAACACTACATTTGTGTTGGCGCTCCACCAAGCTCGTTGTTGAACCACGCTGTGCGAACGGCGAGCAGACAGGCACAGAACAATAGACACGAACCCATTGTCCCGACGCTGACAATGTGATTGCCACAAGGAGAGGCCTGACTTGTTGGTATTCTAAAATAAATTCGATGTTTCGGGCGATGGCCATTCTTGAGGGTCGTGATTGAACCCACGACCTCCTGTATACCAGGCGAGGGAGTTAACATCTCGCCACAGTGGCGCCCCCAACTTTACTTTGCAATGGTAAACCAGCTTTGATATACACTGCTGTGCCATAGTAAAACACAGCAGTCAACCGGAGTGTGTCGATCTCCGGTTTGCGCCCACCGGGTGTTGTGCAGCGCTTCGATCACCTTGCCAGAAGCGCAACAGCGCATCACACGGAAGGTTCGATCACGATCACGGCGGGGGGAGGGAGGCGGGGGGGTTGGGGAGGGAGGCGGGGGGGGACGTGGGGGGGGGACGGAGGCGGGGGATGTGGGGACGAGGCGGGGGGGTGGGAGGTGGGGGGGCTGGAGAGGGAGGCGGGGGGGGTGGGGAGGGACGCGGGGGGGGGAGGTGGGGGGGGAGGGAGGCGGGGGAGGTGGGGAGGGAGGCGGGGGGGGTGGAGAGGGAGGCGGGGGGGGAGGTGGGGGGGGAGGGAGGCGGGGGGTGTGGGGACGAGGCGGGGGGGTGGGGACGAGGCGGGGGGGGGGTCTCTGTCTTTGTTTCACGCTTTCACGGCACGGGGCATCTGGGCCGGGTGGGGCTGGGGGCAGTGTTGGGGTGAGGTGGGGTGGGGGCGGGGTGGGGGTAGGGGGAGGGGGCGGGGTAAGGTCCCCCCGCCAGCCCCCTCTGTTTCCCCAACACGCGCCTCGATGACGGTGCGAGTGTTGGCTCGAGTCCGTGCACAGTTGGCAGAGGTCGCAGTCAAGATGTTGACCCCACAACAGCAACAGCAGCAGCAGCGGCGGCGGCGTCGCGTGGCGCGCGTCCCCACGCTGGCTGCGGCGACCACTCAGAGGCGCGAGGAATAGAACCGCGGACACGTTGTCTGGTCTCGCGCGCGACGATGGCAGCAGCAGCAGCAGCAGCAGCAGCAGCAGCAGCAGCAGCAGCAGCAGCAGCAGCAGCAGCAGCAGCAGCAGCAGCAGCAGCAGCAGCAGCAGCAGCAGCAGCAGCAGCAGCAGCAGCAGCAGCAGCAGCAGCAGCAGCAGCAGCAGCAGCAGCAGCAGCAGCAGCAGCAGCAGCAGCAGCAGCAGCAGCAGCAGCAGCAGCAGCAGCAGCAGCAGCAGCAGCAGCAGCAGCAGCAGCAGCAGCAGCAGCAGCAGCAGCAGCAGCAGCAGCAGCAGCAGCAGCAGCAGCAGCAGCAGCAGCAGCAGCAGCAGCAGCAGCAGCAGCAGCAGCAGCAGCAGCAGCAGCAGCAGCAGCAGCAGCAGCAGCAGCAGCAGCAGCAGCAGCAGCAGCAGCAGCAGCAGCAGCAGCAGCAGCAGCAGCAGCAGCAGCAGCAGCAGCAGCAGCAGCAGCAGCAGCAGCAGCAGCAGCAGCAGCAGCAGCAGCAGCAAGATGGTGCAGGAGCTCCATGCCAATGTGGAGGTTCCGCTGCTGCTGCTGCCGCCACGACGAGAGGGCTTCAGCAGAGAAAGGGAGCTTGTGTGTGTTGTATTGGTGTATGTTGAACTTCTTTCGCGCCGTACGTAGCCAACCGAGTGAATCGTGTGGTACTGCTGTGTCTTCCTCCTCCGTTGAAGGGACGCAGACCACAGAGGTTTTATTGTAGGTCTCCATGTGTCTCCATGTGTCTCTATGGGTCTCTACGTGTCTCTAACTGTCTCTAACTGTCTCTAAGTGTATCTAAGCGTATATATGTGTCGCTGTGTCTCTATGTCTCTATGTGTGTCCAAGAGTCTCTGTATCTATGGGTTTACTATATGATCCATAGTGTGTGTTTTATGGACACACGCGTTCCTGTGGCTTGTCTTTAGTGTGTCTCTTTGTGAGTCTGTGTGTATCTCCGTGTGTCTCGCTGTGTTTACTGTCGGGTCGCTAGTTCGCCTTGTGTGGCCACTCTGGCCGTGTCTGTAACGCGGGGCTGACGCGCCGCATGGCCGCTCTTCTCGTTGGTCGCCTACCTACCTGCCTGACTGACTGACTGCCTCACTGCCTGACTGCCTGACTGCCTGACTGCCTGAATGACTGACTGCCTGCCTGACTGACTGCTTGACTGCCTGACTCCCTGACTGACTGACTGACTTCCTCACTGCCTGCCTGCTTGACTCCCTGACTGACTGCCTGACTGCCTGACTGACTGCCTGAATGACTGCCTGACTGACTGCCTGAATGACTGCCTGACTGACTGGCTGAATGACTACCTGAATGACTGGCTGACTGCCTGACTGACTGCCTGACCGCCTGACTGACTGCCTGAATGACTGCCTGACCCATCTGGCCGGTGCCAATGTATTCGTCTCTTACTCAAAATAATGTCGAGACTCACTGCTGCTGCTGCTCTACCGAGCACCAATCTTGCACAAATTTGATTCCTGCTGCTGCTGCTGCTAACTGGGGTGGAGTTCTCAGTTACTACCTCACTGCCGCACCCGGTGGAAATCAGAGTGACGCAGCAGTGGGGTAAATGATGATAGAGCACTCACTCATTGACTCCGGTCACTCGCCCGCTCACCAACCTACCAACCCACTCACCAAACCATCCACCAACCTACCCAACTACCAACGCGCCCGTCAACTCTCCCACAAACCTACCGACCCTCCCACCAACCCATCAACCCAACCACTTACCCACGCACCAACTAAGCCAGCAACGGACCAAACCAACCACTTACCCATACACCAACCCATTCACCAAACCAACCACCAAACTAACCACCTACCCATTCACCAAAATATCCATCGACCTACCCACCCACCCAACAATCCACCCACCCCTTTCACGCCCCCCCCCCGTACCGCCCCCCTGGCGTGTGGGTGGGGTGGTTGGCTGGTTACTCGCGTGACGGGGTGGGGGCGGTGGTCACAAGGGAGTCGTGGGGCCGCATCAGCCGCCTCCACATTCATCACCTCCGCGGGTTGCGGCTAAGCTCCGAGTGTCAGCCAGAGATCCACGCGCCCGCGTTTCCAATCATCCGCTATTCCCCAGCAATTACCCCCCCCCTCCTCCCCGCCCAACAGCCCCCCCCCCCCACTGCCCCCCACCTCGTGGTATGTGCTCAAGCGTCATTCGACAGATAGATGAGAGAGATGACCTTTAGTTAAAACCAGAGAAAGCCGCATCACTGAGAACGAAAAAAAAGTCTCAAAACAAACTCGCGGCTCGCGTCCAACGAGATCCCGCGTCTCACAGGGAGGAAGGGGGTCCAGCAAAGCCCAACACGGTCGTGCGGAGGCCTTCATCTAGCAGTGGATCGATAAAGGATTGAACGATATGAAAAGCGGCGCGCGGGCTGATGATGTGAGTCAAAGTCAAGAGTGCCTCTCCTTCTGCAAGAGCCACAGTGGAGAATTGGTGCTCTTTTGTTTACAGCCCTGCAGAGCCAGTAGTGGACATTCCATATTCCTATGGCGGGGGAGAGTCCATCTATAAAACAACCACAACGTAGTACCCCTTTTATCAACCCCCGGAGGGAGGGATGATGCTCTGGGGAACGGGCGGCCACCTGAGTGGTTCTGCAACGCAGTCGTCAATAAGTTCGTGTGTGGCCTTCAACAATTTGTATGAGAGGCGACGTTTCGGGAAAGGTCCCGTCTTCATAGCACGTCAAATGTGCTTTAAATGTGCTTCATATATGCAATGTTGAAGGGCCATTGCCCGAAACATCGCCTATTATATATTCCTCATATGATGGGCCACTCTCACACACACAGCATAACTGACACGGGACGTGTTGAGTCTGTTGTTGTTATTGTTGTCTGTGCTTGTTCACGACTGCCAACAGCAGCATCAACGCGATCTGTTCTGTCACAGATGGGCGCCGCAGTGGCGAGACGTTATCTGCCTCGCCTGGTATGCAGGAGGTCGTGGGTGCGATCCCGACATTGACGCCCGTCCACTCCGAGTCTGAATGTCTCTCCCCGTGGTCGCGAGGATATTTCTCCGGTTCTACCGCCCCCCCCCCCTCGACACTTAGAATCGACACGCGTTCCGAGTAATCGGAGGCTACACATTTCCACGTGATGGGCCACTTCGTTGAGCTATCGTCTGTGGCCAGGTCGCTTTCTAGAAGGAGCTGCTTCGCTCAGTGGGCCTTACCTGGTCAAATGCTGAAGAGTTTTGTTTGTATTATTTGGGTCTTTTCTTGGTAAAGTCACGTAGATAGGTTCAAAGAAAATAACAACCTATCTCCGTGACTTTACCGAAAGACCCAAAGAAGATGAATTCCTGCAGTCACGAAAGCTTTAAGTCAAGTTTAGTTTGTGTTTCCATTCCCCAGCCCGTCGGCTGTCTGCGAACTTCGCCAGGTTCGGCGGCGTAGCTCGGGTTCGGGTCGGGTTCGGGTCGGGTTCGGGTCGGGCTCGGGTCGGGCTCGGGTCGGGTTCGGCTCGGAAGCGAGTCGACTTGGCCGCGTCCTTGCCTGGATCTCGGCGGATCGGAGTCGATCAGCCGAAGCAGCCTGCGATTGCCCGAGGCCGTAGCTTTGAGTGATGTCAGAGTCCCCGCCACTGGTGGGGCGAGTCTCTCCTTGTTTGAGCGAGTTTTGATTAAACACGTACACGCAAAAGTTTAGAGCTGTGTACAAAACTTTTCAGAAACTTACACGTCCGTGTGTGTGTGTGCGAGTACCTCTGCTGCGTTGTGTAAACATCGAAACTGTGGAGACAAAGGCGGTCGGGCGTAATGCTGGCCATCCGCCACCTCGTGTGCCCTGCCGGCCTTCACTGGTGCTCCGCGCTAACAGCACTTGCCACAACAGTTTGTTGAGGCTATTCGGGGGATCTCTGTCTTCGTGTGTTCCCGTGGCCGCGAAGCTGTTGCTCGCGCGAGGCCTGGGGAGTCGTTGCGTGTCCGTGTGGTCCGCGAGGAGGTCTGAAGGTAATTCCTCTCTGCACCTTCGCATCGGTCATCACAGCGCCATTAACACAACGCGGCTCATCTCGTCACTTGCGCCGCCGTCAGAGCGCGAGGCGATCGTCGCCCGCGGCCTGCGGCAGCTTCAGAGGAGGGGACGATGCCCCCCAGTGGCAGCTATCCCTGTGCGGCACGGGACGATGGCCACGGACGCAGGAAGGCGCTGCTGATGGTCACACAGACGCAGGCTGCGGGAGTTTAAAAGTCGAGCGGCGATGGTTGCTGCTGTGGCCTAACCTAGGGGCACCCCCAGTGGCAGCTGGCCCTGTGCATCCGCCTGCTGGCAGTAAGGGGGGGGGGGGAGGTGATATTTCTGTGATTTGGAAAATTGACACCGGCCTATTATTTTCGACTGACTTTACATTTGTACAAGATGCTTGTCATACAACGAGCTCATTGAATGTTCACTGATTTTGTTGTTGCGGGGCGATGGGAGCGGGTTAGGCCTCAATTGTCTCGTCGAATCTGTGTCGTGCAACCTACCTCCACCCGACAGAGTTGCGACGTGCTGTGGCGTGGCCCAGCGGCAGCGCGTTTGTCGCCTGTCGCAGACCCTCGAGCGCCGTCCGCTTCACTCACGGGCGACGTTAAAGACCCCTGACGTCGTCACAAGGCTTAAGGCCATCGGGTGCCGACGTTCATTTTTGCTGAATTCGAATAGTAGCCGGAAATGACTCCTCACTTGGGATCACACGCAGACGCACAGCAGCAGCAAGCAGCAGCAGCAGCAGCAATCATCGCCCCGACTGGCAGCAGACCGATGTCCCAGCTCACTGTCGCGAATGGGACTCTGCTCGCTTCAGTTCTCACCTGGATACAGAAGATGATCTTAAACTCACTCACTCACTCACCCATCCCCTCACCTGCTCACTCACACACTCAATCATCCACTCACTCACTCACTCGTCATCTCACTCATTAACCGACTCACTCATTCTCTCCTCCACTGACCCATTCATCCACTCACACAACTCACCAACTCACGAATGATATAATTCACTCACTAATTCACCCATTTACTCATTCACCCACTCACTCATTGTCTCATCCATTCACTTACTCCCCCACTCACTCATTCACCCATTCACTCATTCTCTCATACACTCACTAATTCACCCACTCACTCGTGCAAATGAGGCTCTACCCTGGTCTCACCTGCTCACACAAAACACAACATGAAACTTGAAACCCCTCTGCTGATCTGTTGTGAAACGCCACCGGTTCAGGCGAGACGAGTTATTAAACGAGTTTACTTCCCGCGATTGTTTCTTTTCTCTCCTGCTCTATCAACAAAAGAGAAACTCTGCGATGTTTTTAATTAATCTGTAGGTCCTTTTTTTTACAAAATGTGTGTAATAATGTATACGCACGTGCCTCGTGTCACGTTAATTATGGAACGCGGAGAGCAAATCGTTGGGTAATTTTGTCATTCTCACATCGATTATTGCTGCTGCAGTGTAAGCTCGTGATGTTGGCTCAGTGCTCGAGACAAAGACAAAGATCCCCCGTATATCCTAAACCGACTGTTGGGGCAAGTGCTGTTAGCGAGCAGCGCCTATGAAGGCCGGCACGGCACACGAGGGGGTGGAATGCCAGGACCACGTCCAGCTGACTTTGTCTCCCCAGTGGCGATGTTTACACACCGCACCAGGTACTGATTCAAGGCTGAGTCGACCTAGGCGAGGTCCAGGTCTGGTTCACATCATCTTCACTGGTGTTTGTTATCGTGAACGGGAATCTAACTTAGGTGGCCGGGTTCGTGGCACGGCGTGTTAATGACGACACTGCTGCTAATGCTCCCTACAAAGACAAAGATTATCCGTATAACCTTAGCAGAATGTAGGGGCAAGTGCTGTTAGCGAGTACATATGAAGGTCGGTACAGCACACGAGGGGGTGGATGGCCAGCACTACGCCCGTCCGCCTTTGTCTCCCCAGTGGTGATGTGTACACACCGCACAAAGCACTCATTTGAGTCGACCGCTCCCCACTCCTCACAGACACACGCGCTCGCATTTATATTTCATGGAATGTGCGTACGTATGTACGTTGGACTTCTTTCGCACCGTACGCAGCCAAAAAACTTGCATTTGCCTTGCGATGTTTGTCTCGCGGCTCCCACAGCAAACGGAGAGCGCGGAGGGAACCCGCAGCCCCGCGCCGCCCAACACGAGCTGACGGCAAACTGGAGGTGCGTGCAGACCCACTCTACGATGCTGCTTGTTGCCACCTACTGTTATTATTCATACCTGTTCACCCAGCAAAGCCTCGCCACGAATCTCGAGACTATTTCTCTCGAGGGCCCTGCCACAGTGTCCGCATGAGTGGGACGATGATCGCTGCCCGCCGTGTCCCGGTCTTGTGTGATCCCAACTGCGAGTCCCGGTCTTGTGTGATCTCAACTGCGTGTCACGTGTTGTGTGATCCCAACTGCGTGTCACGTGTTGTGTGATCCCAACTGCGTGTCACGTGTTGTGTGATCCCAACTGCGAGTCCCGGTCTTGTGTGATCCCAACTGCGTGTCACGTGTTGTGTGATCCCAACTGCGTGTCACGTGTTGTGTGATCCCATCTGCGTGTCACGTGTTGTGTGATCCCAACTGCCCGATGGCCCACGCTTGGGAACGGCCTCCACGGCATTTCGTGGAGCAGACGGCGCAGAGTTTTTGTTGTTATGGTAAATCCACCCGCAGTAATAACCCATCATACCACCTTTCCCCTTCCCGGATCGATAAAGTAGGTACCACTTTGTGGGGGAAACCAACCGCGTTTTTTTTTACCAATGGATTCCAACCGGCTTGCGCTGCACCGAGTTTAATGTTTAACTTTGATGTAACATTGGTTTACGTTTGTGCAGTATTCTCGTGTTCTCTCGTCACACAGTTGTTGTTTTGGTTTTGGGTTCTGATGGCTATCTGCTTCATCGTTGTTACTTTATTTTACGTATTTTGCTGTTTAAACAAAATCAACTTTAAACTTGAACCCAGCCGCCCATTCACTCACCCATTTACTCACTCACCCATTTCCACACTCACCCATAGACTCGCTCACCCCACTCACTCACCACCCACTCGCTCACCCACTCACTCACTGACCCAAGTTACTCTTGCAAACGAGGCTCATCCTGGTATCTCGAGTGAGCACATGGTTACACAACATTTACTTGAAACTTCCCCCCTCCAGAGGAATGTGGAATGTCCACCACTGGCTCTGCAGGGCTGTGAACGGGAGTAGAGCACCGATGCCTTCCTGTGACTCTTTTGAAGCAGAGAACTCGCTCTTGACTTTGACTCAGATCGTAAGCGCGCGTGCGGCTCTGCACGTGCGGCTCTTCGTCGATCCACGAGTCGACGAAGGCCTCCACACGAGAACAATGCTCGAGAGAAGACTCCACGGGGGAGGGATTTTGAGGGTTGATGGATCGCGGGGTCCCCAACCCGCTGGGCCGCGAGGGTGGCCCTGAGAGAGCCGTGCGGTGAGAGTGTTCGAGAACCTGTCCGTGATTAGATGTTTACGTAACAGATGCGTATCAACGTCTGCTCAAGCTTCCAGTGAGTCACGTGACTCCTGTGTGGCCACCCCCAGTGGGTGAGTGAGCGGGTGATTGAATGAGTGACTGAATGAGTGGGTTGGGTGAATGAGTGAGTGGGTGAGTGAGTGACTTAGTCAGTGAGTGAGTGAGCGGGTGATTGAATGAGTGACTGAATGAGTGGGTTGGGTGAATGAGTGAGTGGGTTAGTGAGTGACTTAGGGAGTGGGTGAGTGAGCGTGTGATTGAATGAGTGACTGAATGAGTGGGTTGGGTGAATGAGTGAGTGGGTGAGTGAGTGAACCTCACTCTCTGAACCTCCCCCCTCACCATCCACCGTGAAAAGAGACGTCGCTCCTCCTCCACGCAACTCCCTGCTGCTCGCTTCTTCCTTCTCTCCCCTCTCTTCCCTCCTCTCATCATCATCACCATCGCCCCATCTTCATCCCCAACATCTTGGCCTGGTCATTCCTCCTCCTGCGGACGGTCACGTCTCAAGTGCGTGCGGGCTGCGCCTACTCGGCAGTGTCTGTGACACAACGAGGAGGAGGAGGGATGTCTCAGGCGGCACGGCCAGCCTGCTCCGTGTTCTGAGAGTGGCGGTGTGGGGGGGTGGCTGAGAGTGGGGGGTGTGGGGGGTAATGGGGGGGGGACTGAGAGTGGGGGGTGTGGGGGTGTGAGGGGGGGTGGGTTGAGAGTGGGGGGTGTGGGGGGTAATGGGGGGGGGCTGTGTCCGCTGTCCGTTGGAGACTGCGGCCCCAGGCACCGGGGTCCCCACGTCAGAGGGACTCGCGCGAGCTCCGCGTGACGTCATCTGCGCGTCTCTGAGGTGGCGGCGCTCCGTGGGGTGATGGTGGGGGGTGATGGGGAGGTGATGAGGGGGTGGGTGGGGGATGAGGGTTGAGGCATTGGCGTGAGGTGGGTGAAGAGTCTGTGTGTGTGTCTGTGTGTGTCCGTGTGTGTCTGTGTGTGTCTGTGTGTGTCCGTGTGTGTCTGTGTGTGTGTGTCGGTGTGTGGGGAGCGGTGGTGTAGCGGTTAGCGCGCTGCGCTATGAACCCGGCCACCCGAGTTCGATTCCCGCTCACGGCCAACACCGGTGACGATTATCTGAACCGGTCCTGGGCCTCCCCTAGGTCGACTCAGCCTCAAATGAGTACCTGGTGCGGTGTGTAAACATCACCATTAGGGAGACAAAGGCGGTCGGGCGTGGTGCTGGCCACCCACCCCCTCGTGTACCGTTGCGGCCTTCATAGGTGCTCGCTAACAGCACTTGCCCCTACAGTCTGTTAAGGCTATATGGGGGATCTTTATCTTTGTCTTTGTCTGTGTGTGTCCGTGTGGGTGGTTTATTGGTCGCTCACGAACAATCATCAATGGCGAATAATTGAACCGGTCCTGGACCTTCGCTAGAATTCGGACTATATGCGGAGTGTAAACATCAGAATTGGGAGATAAAGGCGGCCGGGAGTGGTAATTGCCACCCACCCAGTCGCATGCCGTGCCAGCTTTACTGTGTTCTCGCTCACAGCGCTTCATCCCACCGTCTCTGCAAGGCGACACGGGGGATCTCCCTCTCTCTCTCTCTGTGGTTGTTTTGTGTGCAAACATTTCAGGATACAGCGCTGACATTGGAGTCGGCCGAACTTCCCAGGTAGCCGGTCCAGGGCTTGCCCCGCTCTGCAGTCCCCGCTGTGAATTCTCCCGTCGCCGCTTTGTCCGCTTGACGCGGGCCGCTGCGGTGCGCGCCTGACCCCCCCCCTGCCCCCACCCCCACCCCTGCCTCCGCCTTTACATCGTGGTCGCTACGGAGGGAGACGCCTCCCCTCCCCCAACCCCTCCCCTCCCCCTCTATAATGAGCCTTGACACGTGCATTGTTTGCACGTGGGGGGTCCTCTGTGCTCACACCTGCGGAGGCCACGTGGCGCTAATGCGGGAGCTGATTTTGGTTCCAGTCGAACAAAACAAGCTCGAGCCATTAGTGAATACCAACAGCGTGGCCTTCAAGGGAAGAAAACGATTACAACAAAGATCCCCCGTATAGCCTTAACAGACTGCTGGGACAAGTGCTGTTAGCGAGTCGCACCTATGGAGGCCAGCACGGCACACCGGGAGGTAGGTGGCCAGCGCCTCGCCCGGCCGCCTTTGTCCCGAAGAGACGATGATTGCACATCGCACCAGCCACTCATTTGAGGCTGAGTCGAGCTAGAGGGAGGCCCAGGACCAGTTCAGATAATCCTCACCGATGTTGGCCGTGAGCGGGAATCGACCTCGGGTCGCCGGGTTTGTAGCGTCGCGCTAACCGCTGCGCCACCGCTCCCCAGTACAGTACACGTACACACACTGTAATAGGCGGCATTCGCCAATACATCCCCCTAAAAAAACATTTTTTGCCTTAATAGGAAGTACTTGAATAAGGACCATTGCTCGAAACGTCGACAATGATTTGTTTTCCTTCGAAGGCCACGCATTGTCATTGGCGAGCGTGTGGAGTTGTTGTTGTTGGCTGTGCTTGTGCACCACTGCCATGGCACCACCAGAGAATTGTTTCCAATCATCTCGAATTGGTTCTCATCATCTCGAATTACTATCCACTCTATCCGTCTCCCTATCCTCTCTCTCTCTCTCTCTGTTATGGCGGAGGGCCATTGCCCGAAACGTCGCCTGTTATATACATGCTAAAGCAGGGTGGTCCAAAAGTCAGGACACACAGGCGCCCGGGCATATCATCGTGCCAGCCTCAATAGGTGCTCGCTAACAGCACGTAGCCCCACATGATTTTGTATTGTGTACGTACTGTATGTTCAACTTCTTTTGCACCGTACGTAGCCAACCGTGCTCATCGGATGTGCGTATTGGCCATACACGTGCAGTATATTCGGGTACTGCTAGATATCTTGATACGTATATAAATACTGAATAACCATACCACTTGCTCACCTCGTCTCGATCATCCATTCTCTTCCTCTTCCCTCCCCTCGTCCCTCCACTCCATCCTGCCCCTCCCCCGTAGCCCTTCCGTGATCCCTAAGCGCCCCTCTATCGCTGTCACTCATTGCTCAGTACCTCGGAGCGCGCCCCTGCCACAACGAGATCATTCCATTCGGTGTCACTGCTTCTCAAACCCTGTCAAGTGAAGGCGCCCTACAAATGTAACATCACATTCTCATAATGAGATAGTGCAAACATGCACAAGATCACGCGTGTTACAACCATATTTTTTAATTTAATATCCCGTATTGGTAATGTCTCATCGTACCGTTATCACTTTAGCAAGACGTATTGTTTAATATTGTTCCGTTTGTTTACACAGGAAAGCCCGCTGAGTCTCAAGGCTCTTTATCCAGGAGGGCCTTGCCAAGCTCTCACAGTAGGGGGCGATGTTTATGCCGCTGCTGCTGCTGCTGCTGTGTGATCCCAGTTGAGGACATTTGCGGTGTGACTGCCACATTTCTACAAAAAGTTACCATGTCGCCAGCACACAATGGCCCACTCTTGCGAATAGCAGACGGCCGCTGGCTTCGAAGCGCACACCTTTTCGGTTCGCGCTTCTGCGGGGCAATGCATCGCCCCGTGATGAAGCCATGCCCGAGCAGGCACGTGATCAGCTGAGCTGGCTGATGCTCGCAGTTAGACACAACGTGTTACTGCTACCAGTTGATTAG